AATAAATGAAACCATTATTGGAGAAAAGCTTCTAGAAGCAGATTTCGCAAAGCTCCATGTACAAACAGTGGTTAATACCTCAATTGGCTGAAAAAAACCTGCAATGGTTGAAACACGTAGGTGAACTCGGATCAAAGTTGTGGTTTCCATTATTACTTTGAAGTTAAACCCTTTATTAGTTAATTACTTGGAAGATAAACCCTTTATTAGTTAATTACTTGGAAGATAAACCCTTTATTAGTTACCCATAGGATATATTTAATACAGGTTACATAACCAAGTGTTAATGATTAAAAACAAAAAAACTAGTGATGAATGGATTAACCACACATTAATTTAGCTCAAACTGACACGTGTCCTTTATATGACAATGTGTTTCCTTCCTAATGTAATTTATATGTGTAACGTCTCCTGACACCCACAATCATATGTGGAATTATTTTTTAAATAACATCAACGCCTATAAACTGACATAATTAACTAAATGCAATACTTTTCATGACTTTTCAAGAACGGATACAATACAAGACAACATTCAAAAATACATTGAGACCAAAAACCGCTAAATTATAAAAAAACATTTGTCTCTGAAAGCTGTGTTTAGATCCTTTCTTTGATCTTAACAATGCTGATTTGAAAACCTCCCAGGTGTTTTCTTTGGTGCCGTGTGCATTGGGATGGCTGGAGTTGCATCAGTCATGGGAAGCATTTTGCAGGTGAACACCATGCACTCACACCATGCACTCATGTATTGCTCTACTGCCCCACCAAGAGCTGAACAACATGAACTACAACCCTACTGATCGTTTTCTTTTCACAGGCAGCTCTGTCCATATTTGGCATGATCAGCGGGCCTCTTCTAGGTCTTTACCTATTAGGCATGCTATTCCGCACATCAAATTCAATAGTGAGTATTTCCTTTTACCCTAGCATTCTTTTTGAATGTGACGCATCCAGGAGGTATTTGACTGCACCATGTTTACTTTGCAGGGCGCGCTCGTGGGAATGATCATTGGCCTGGTGTTGACTCTGTGGGTGGGGATTGGAAGCCAGATCTACCCCTCCACAGCTGAAAAGACAAACCCTCTCCCAGTCTCCACTGTGGACTGCAACAGCACAATGAGTCAAAACGTCACAACCCCAGCTCCATGGACCAGTCCCGTGACTCTGACCTCACAGCCCCAGTGAGTTATTCATGACACTCAGGGGGCGTCTGCTGCCACTCACATGACATGAGCAGAGCCAAAGCAACATTAGCATTTTCATTTTGCAAATGTATACAAATTATAGAAATGTTTCCAAGCTTCATATCTGACCCGCAAAGACTTTAATTTGCCGGTTTATTACCAAAAGTAAAAACTCTAAACACATATAAATAAAAAATAAAATGATTTAGCTGTTGTCAAGGATGAATGCTACGAGAGGGAATGCTTGAATGCTGTATCACTATATTAATACATGTCTTTAAACTTAATATATGCTGAACCCACCACTTTTCTGGACTACATTTCAGAAATGGATTTTTATACAGGGTTTTGATGCTTTTCAAAATAATTTCTGAAATACAAAATGCACATTGATAGAGACTATATCCAAAGAACCTCAGTCTAGATTTATATATATACTTGAGCAGCAGTTACTTGCTTTATTAATACGTCAATTGAAAGAAAATCAACTATTTCAACAAGCTATTAATTCCTCAGGGCATTTGAAAAATGGCAACTTTTCACATGTTCCAGTTTCTTAAAGGGATAATTTGCGGATGTTTCTGTTTTATATTATTGTTTATTAAAATATGTTAGGAATTTGGACTGCACGTTGGACAAATCTATTAAAAGACGAATAATCAATAATAAGGATAAACGATAGTTGCAACCGAGGTTCATGCAGTATGCCATCAGAAGAAAAGTGTCATGTTGGTGTAAGGAGTGCAGAATAGGATGAGGACATAATGCAATGATGTCCTCTGTGTTTCAGTGTGAGGCCGCCTCTGGCAGACTCCTGGTACTCTCTGTCCTACCTCTACTTCTGTCTCCTGGGTACGCTCACCACGATGGTGGTTGGTCTGCTGGTGAGCATGGCCACAGGTGAGACATCTCCTTTACCATTACCTCCAAATACACATACATTCTTATGTTGGTGAAATATTGAACAGTATAATGTAAATCTACAATTAGAACTGTTATGGGAATATGTTTCCATTTGTGTTTAGGTGGATGTAAGCAAGATGAAAAGAACCCTGAACTGTTTGTGAAGGCGAGTGACCTGTTTAGCTTCAGCTGCTGTGGTAAATCAAAGGTAGGAGAATAACCCCTTTGTTATATAACAAGTAACAAAGTAAGGATATATGAAATGCAGATGTGTATATTTTGTCACGTGTTAATAATAGTTTGTTCTCCCTCCATTACAGGTATCAGAAGTCACAGAAAAGTCTGCAACAGACTTTAACACGGTGGCTGACAACCCAACATTCACAGACTTTGAAATGAAAAGCAAAGATCCCGAAAGAGCCACCAAACTGTGACACTGCTCTATTCATACATATTTACTGAAAGGAGAGATTTTAATAGAATTATTTTTATAAACATGACAATGACAAGACTCAATTGTTTTGCTGCTTGATCCCCTGTGCATTACATTTGTGGAAACAATTGTTTTTACAAATCGTCCATAAACATGTTTCTTGAATTTCAATAAAACATTATGTATATTTTACATTGAGAAAGAGCTTGACAACTTGTCTTAAATTGAGCTTTAAGAATATAAAGAAAATCCAAATCTGTCTTTGGATATTACTACTGAGGTGATTTTAATAATAGAAAGAAAAAGAACCCCTGAGTTAAACCAGGACATTTCTGCCGTTGTAGCATTCATCAGAACAATAGGCTTTGAGATCACACACCTCATATTTGCTCTCACTACGACAGAGCAGCTCTCATTTCCTGTTAAGCAGTTGCATTGCCCTTTGTTCAATTGTTCTCTTTCACGGCGTCTGCTAGCTCTATGTTCTCTACCTGAACATTGTCCTCCTTCATGTCCTGCTGACAAAGGCACAATGAAACACTGTTTGATATTACAAAATGTATGATGACATGGCCATGTGTTTGTATTTGTTAAGTGGCTGGTTATTTTGGGAGGGGGGAATTGTGAACTTGTTTAGTAACTACCTATATGAATTTGTCACAAATTCCACTCATTATTAAAGATTTGATAAAGCCTTGTACACAAGCATACAGAAAACCCCAGTGAGTGTGTGACCTCTGTATGTAGAGTGAGTATATATGACAGTGAAACTAAGAAGACTACATGTACTCTGCAGTTTCTGTTCTACTCAGGGCTGTAAAGTGTTTGAACTGAGCAATAAGGAAAAGACCGAGAGTGAGCTTTGGTCTGGATAATAAACGTGTCATTTGTCTCCTTGGCAACATACAATGGAGGAAGGTTACAAAGCACTGACCTGCCCACTTTCACCTGCCACTGCGCCAGCAAATCCACACGAGCTGCACAAGGTTTACAGGAAGTGGAGTCAGCCGTAGCATGGAGGCAGACTCGCGGCCAGTGAAGTGAGCCCAGTTTGTTTTCACTGACACCGACAAAACAAGGTGAGTCTGATCTTACATTTACTTCCTTGATCAAGATTTGAACTTAGTTGTTTTACATAGAGTAAGAGGGAGATGAGAAATGATTCTATTTAAATAAAATCAGAGTTGGTATGCCATTATGTGTTTGAATGTGTCTGATCTTTGCTGGATTATGTTTATTAATGTAGTAGATATGACCTAGTTATTAAAAGGTCAACCACCATGTTTAAGATGTTGTTTTCACAGGCTTACGGTTTAAACAGATTACCAAGATACGGGAAACATATTTGACACTGTTTCTGGAAGTGCTCATGTTTTGTTTACCATTACAGGACTTAATAGTCATGGATACCAACTCTGCTGGTCTGGCTTGTTGCCTTCTGGCTCTTTCTATTGCTGTGGTACAAGCGGAGAATATCACTACTATCAGACCTATAATACCAACCTCCAGGTCAAACATGACAAACGGAACAACAATGGTACCTTCACCTAACTCTACTGTTATCTCAAATTTGACTGGAAACACGACTCCTTTCACCAGCACAACCCGAGACAATGAGACGTTCACAGGAAGTACAGCCACAACAAATGAGAGCACAAGTCACCCATCTCAGGCGACTGCTCTAACAAACACCACATCACAAATAACCACGACACCTGGCAATCGCACACCGACACTCACGGCAACACAGACCACAGCAGGTAACATGAGTACACCGACTGCTACAGTAATTACAACTGCAACTTCATCACACACCGTCAACACAACGTCAGATTCAATGAACAGAACCACACAAGGTAAGCCGGCTTGAGTTTTTCAGTTTTTGATTGAATTGCTCATTGTAGGTTTTTAATGTGTTCCTTTTCCCGTTGCTAGGTTTGCGACTGAACATTTCAGAAAAGAATATGACTATTGTTTTCAGCGTTGTACTCGGAGTATTTGCTCTGGCATTGGTTGGGTTCATGTTTCGCAGATGCAAACATAACATCCAATACTTGCATCAACCTCTCAATAACACTGATGACACGGGTAAGGACTTTCCCTTCCTCACACAATAAGTATATTCTGTTCTTTATCATTACCAGTTTAACATACCTGGTTTTCAGCAGATGCATTTGTGGCAGACGATGACACACTCGTGATTTCTGGAGGACTTTATGATGGCCACCCGATATACGACAACGTTCCAGAAGCCCCAGCAGCAGACCGATCTCAATTCCGTCTCCAGTTCCTTCATTAAGGACCGAGTTCCTGCAGCTTTGGTGATTGGAAGTGTTTTCCTCTTCCCCAAATGAGTAGAGAACTTCAGGACTGACATTTCACTCATGAGAAATGTCAAAATGATTCATAAGAGTCTGACAGCAGAGAGGACAGCCACAACAATGATGGGCAGAACATTGAAACAAGGACAATGCTGATTGATTTGAACATCAACTTTACTCACTAAGCTGTCAATACTAGAATACAGAAATACATTAAATATATTAAGATAGCAACACGTAACTACACTATTTCTCACAACAACAATATCAACTTGTGCAGATCAAATCCATTTCATGTGAACACCAGTAAAGATTAGTCTTAACATCCAGCAGAACTACAACAAACTGATTCTTTCTAAAGCACCTGAATGCATTGAAGGGGACTCTGCAGTCATTGAAGGGGACTCTGCAGTCATTGAAGGGGACTCTGCAGTCATTGAAGGGGACTCTGCAGTCATTGAAATGACCTTATAGCCAAACTTGCTTGAACAGCTGGACAATGAACACTTTTGATAACAAGACTGTTTAACTGATCAACCTATCTAATCTTTTGTGCATGTAAAGAAATAAATTGGCCTTTTGTTATTAATGATACAGCGTGTTAAAGTCTTACCGATGCTATTTGTGAACGATAACAAAGTTGAAACATGAACATCTGAACTAAAACCTTGTAAGGGTTATCTGTCCCGTGAGCGCACTATTTATGCAAAGATCTTGTCATTGGTTGTCTTCTTCTTTTTGTCACAGCCCGTAACAGCCGTCCAACCAGCATCTCGCATCCTTTTCATTGCTGCTAACTTCAAGGAGTTCCCTGGTGATTTCTGAGAGATGGGGCTTTGGATCTGAAAAAACAATGATCCATTTTTGTATAAATAAAAATGACATGTTTGTTTTTATGTCTATGTATACAATCCATCAACTTTTTTAAATAGCATGTCACCTTTTTGAAGATGTTGAACTTGCGATGTGGAGCGGAAACATCTGGTATAGGTGTACTAGCAAAGGTCTGCCAAGAAGAGAAACAGACTAAACCAGCTCTTTTGGTAATCATGCACTGAACAGATACAACTCACAAAAACAATGATACGATGTACTGACTGTGTAATTCAATAAACCAACAATCAATACAACTCACCAAAAGATCATGCTGATCAGAGCTGTCAGACTTGTCCGACAGCACTAAGGTGCTCTTTCCCCAGCCTGATGCCTTTTCAGAAGAAGGAGGAGTCCTTATTCTGTAGGACTGAATAAAACAGATCAGAGCGTTAATGTCCGCACGTCATTCAAATATTTGTTTTCTTTCTGGAAAATGATATCCATTAATAATATAATATATATATAATAATCCATTATATTACTTTGATCTTTGACGTTCCGCCCAGTCTGTTTGTAGTGCTTCTTGGGGTTTTTAGGTCTTCATTACGAAATTCCTTCAAAGGGAAATCAAGGTCAGACTGAGTTATAATGACAGCAACTACAGACTCTCCATCATCATCATCATCATCATCATCATCATCATCATCATCATCATCATCATCATCATCATCATCATCATCATCATCATCATCATCATCATCATCATCATCATCATCATCATCATCATCATCATCATCATCATCATCATCATCATCATCATCATCATCATCATCATCATCATCATCATCATCATCATCATCATCATCATCATCATCATCATCATCATCATCATCATCATCATCTACCTTGGTCTTTGGTGTTGTTCGAGAGGATTTTCTGATGGATTCCGTGTAGGATTCCTTAACAACATATGTATAATATTAATGCAGTTAAATTGATTCCTTGACAACCAAACATGTATTGCAATATCGTTCCATAACAGCCTTACTGACCATAATCACTATGGACATGCAGTCCATAGTGATTATGGCACATGAACACAATACACAGCCCTGAAACTGCATTGGATGTGTACTCATGTGCTAGAGTTATCATTTCAGTATGCGTTGTTTTGTTGAATGGATACAACTTGACGTCCATGGTAGGAAGATGGTCTGAATTGGACTAACAGGTGAGTTGAAGAAAAGATCTGCAGTGTCTTTGAGTTAATACAACTTCATGATTTGATTCCTAACTCACCTAAACAATTATGGATGTGTCTGAAATAAGAGCATTTAGTCTATCTGTCTAAAGGAATCTGGTAGGTGACTCACAGCTTTCTTCATTAATGCAGAACTTCCCTCTTTGTTGCTGGAGGAGGGAGTTCTCCTGGTTTTGGTGAAGTCAAACACGTGTCTCGTTGAAGAGCTCTCTCTTGGAGTCTCAGAACGTTCCCCTTGGGTACAGTTTAAGGCAGGTGCCTGGAATGTTAAAGGCCAAGTACATGTGAGAACAAACCACCTCATCAGTGCTAGCATATTCACAGATGAACGGATATTTGTACCTGCTTGTTCCTTGCCTCTGACAGCAGAGTCATTTTCATAGATGACATTTCTTTCTTGAAGTCAGCCAGCTCCTTCTGCAGTTTTTCCTAATAGGATTAAAAGTGTTTCATAAAGAACTCTCTCAAAAGCTATTTCAGTGAAAGAAAGGGGAACGATATAATGTACCTGATTCCAACTACTGCAGTAACTAGGACATACCTTTTCTGTTGTTCCTGCCACCAGCTGTTGCTTCAGGTGATCGTTATCCGTCTTGTGCTTTGCAAGTTCCAAGTCCTCATTTTTTAAATGTAGATTTGACATAATTCATTTGTTAACAAATAATTGTTGATCTCATTGTATATATATATATATATATATATATATATCTATATATATATATATATATAGATATATGTTCAATTATGTATTAAATACCATACCAGTGATTTCCGATGTGCAACAGCCTGCATCTCTTTCTTCTTTGTCTCATCAAGCTCTGCATCCTTTTCTTCAACCATCCGGTCATACTGGCTCTAATGATAACAAACACATTTCCAATTCAACATGTGTTTGGAATGACAATCATGTTGTAAAAAAACTATTTTTAGAAAGCACAACATGTGCTTTTTGATGAGGTTACCTTATGTTTCTCCATCAGAGCGACCATATCTGCTATTTGGTGTTGACACTTCAGTTCTGTGTCTTCTTTGTTCTTGGTGGCCTCTGCTGCTGTTGATTTGAGCTTTTGTACCTGTTAGACAAAGTGTTTTTATTCTTTATTTTGAATTATGAGGAGTTGAATATGTGGTTAATCACATAACAATAAATAAGCAACCTCAATCTCAAGCTCTGCTGCCAAGGTTGATTTGGCCTCAAATTCCTTTAGCAATTTCTGACAGTTTTCTTCGTTCAGCGCTCTAAGGCTCTCGGCCTCCTCATGGAGATTGTTGATCTTAAGACAAAAACAATCATTTACATAATGCAGGGTTATACCATTTATATCAATGTGTAGAACTAGTAGGGGAAAGCACTCAAGTTGACTGGATTGTGCCTTCTCCTATGACATTTGTTTCTTACATGTGAAAGTACACGATGGAGCCGTTCGCTGAATGACTGACTTCAGGTTCAGGGCACTCACTAACCTCTTTCTGGTATTCCTCCTGGGCTTTCAGTTTCATTTCAAACTTTTTCCTGAAACTGCGCAGCTAAAAAAACAAAACAATTTCTTGTTATTTTAAAAATGAATGAATAATAATAGTGTTTTTCATGTTCAGTATTTTCAAAATTCAATCACCTTGGTTTCCACAGATTTGATCTGTTTTTCTTTTTCTGCAATTCCCTCCTCCATACGTCCATACTATAAACAGGAATCACAAACACATCCTCCTGTAACACCTTCACAACAACCCTATTGTTCATTGGTTTGTTGGCATACTCACATTTGCTTCAAACTTCTTCTGCAGAGTCTCAGTTTCTTGACATTTCTCTTGGCTCTTGTTCTCAATGGACGTCACTTCCTCTCTATTTAACAAAGATAAATACCATTTTATCTGAAAAACGACACAACGTCTAACCTCTTAGGTCTTCAACGTGCTAACTCACCGTAGACCTTGGTTTTCTTCTTCCAATCTCTGGATTTGTTTTGTGAGTTTCACAGCCTTCTTTTCACTAACCTGTTTAGTCAGACCCACTTTCAGAATGTGTCCTTCATGAAACAGCCAGTCATAATGCAAACAAGTTGATATAGACAAGACAATCATCTACATTGGGTAATTCATACCTTCAAGTTTTCCTCAACAGCTTTCACACTCGAAGATCCGCTCGCAAACTGCTGCTGAATGACTGTCTTCTCACAATGCAGCTCATTAAAGTTGGCCAATAGCTCCGTGTACTTATCTCTTAAGAAATAACATTAATTAAACATCAACATTACAAACATGTATTTATACTGTATAATGCGCTACTAAGAGCTCACTCATGCTGATGGATGTCTTGTCTCAGTTGCACCATCTGGAAGGTATGTTCTTTATTTGTCTTTACTTCTGTGAACAGTTGCCCCTCCAGCTGCTGCACTTTGATCTGAGGGTATATAACACATCATGTGGTGAAGCTATGTGTTGAGTAAAGTACACCATATCAATGCATTTGTTTTTCATAATAAAAACAACTTCCCAGACAAATTCCCCTCAGTGGGTAAGAGATGATGAGTGCAGCAAGATAATGAAAGATATCTACACCTCAGTCACTCTGGATTTCTCCTTCAAATCTTCGTGTGCTTTTTCAGCAGCTTCACAAGCTTCCTTTAGTAGATCATGTTCTGCTTTCTCAATCTCTGCATCATTCTGTATCAACACAAATATAATAGGGCTTACATTTGAAGGTACACACAATCGACTCCCTATTCATTGGGAGAAGAATGATCTATTGGCTCACCTTATACCGCTGGGCTTCTTCGGTTTCCCTTGAAAGCTCAGCGGTGAGTTTCTCCACTTTGACTTCAGTGACCTCGATCTTTTCCTTCATGGACTCGACACATTTAGATGTTTTGTCCTGAGAACCACACAAACGTACTGTAAGTGTCTTCAAATGGGCTTCTGTAGTGTGCGGGCTACAATGAATGATTGAGAAACGAGTTATATACTCTTCTAGAAAATATAAATATACCCTACCAGTTCATCTTCAAGTATTTTGATCTGCCGTTCTTTCTTTGCAATCTGCTCCATGTTCTCTCCTGTAGATGAAAACAGCATCAAAAGGCTTCAAATGAAAGGCAAGGCCATTTGATTTATATAGCACTTTTCAGCACGTGGCGATTCAAAGTGCTTTACAGATTAAAAGTAAAAGACATTTAAGAACAAATACAGCATAAATACATTATTAAAAAGGCATTTAAAAACAGGCATAATAAGCAAAGGTAATGAAATAAATAAAACACAGCAGGTACAGAATACATGACGAAAAAGGCATACTGTAGTGTGAGTATGAGCAGCTCAATTAAAAGCAGCGGCAAATAGGTGCGGGATTTACAAATAGGAAGTGTTTCGGCGGACGTGCATGATTTGGGCAGTTTGTTCCAAATTGTTGGGGCATAATAACTAAAAGCTGCTTTTCCATGTTTAGTGGTTATTCTCGGAACAGAGAGCAGACCCGACCCAGAAGACCTGAGACTCCTGGTTGCTTCATAGTGATGGAGGAGGTCGTCTATATACCTCGGTCCTAAGCCATTTAGAGATTTAAAAACTAGCAGTAGTATTTTAAAATCAATTCTTTGGCAGACTGGAAGCCAGTGTAATGATCTCAGAACCGGAGTGAAAGGATCTACATATGTCATATGTAAGTCAGGCTTACCTAAAAGTGTGTTTCTTCTTTCCAGTTCCTCACTGTTGGCCATGAGCTTATCCTCAAGTTCCTTAGTCCTTGAAAATAAGATATTCCAATATTAGTTCCCAAAATGGTAATTTGATATTATATATATTTAGTCCTAACAGGAAAATAATGGCATAGGAAACATGAAGGAAGGAAGGAACATGCCCCGATATGTTTTGATGTAATGACATGTATACCTCTTTGTCTCTAAGGCTAGGGAATCCTGGAGCTCCTGAATGTTCGTCTGAATCTGCTCCAACGTCTCTGCTTGGTCATTTTTTACTTTGCTGAGTTCCTGCAAGCTTGAGTCTTTGCTTTGAATCATCTCTGTAAATTCTTCTTTAGTTTGTTCCAGAATTGCAGCAAGAGCTTCACATTTGATCTAAAGGATAGAAAACTATATTTAATCAAAGCAAACAAGGCACAACAGAGCCCAGTTTCATGTCACTCACCTCGGCTTCTGTGCAAAGCTGCTCTGCAGTGAGACGTTTCTGAAGCAGGGACTCTTGTTCAGTTTTTGAGCTACTGAGAAGTCCACATTGTTCATCTGTAAAGTAAACACTTATTTAATGAGGTATTCTTCCCTAGATGATCATTTCATTATCACTGTAATTATTACATTTGATCCAAACCTATTTATCTTTAAACATTTCTACTTTATTACAATGCTGAGATGTTTCATCTCAGCATTGTTGAAATGACATTGAATGTTGTTTCACAAGAACGTAACAAAACATTGATTATGTAAACACAAAATGCTTTGGTAAAAAAAATAATGTTTATAAAACAAAGTTAATCAAAAATAACTTCTGCAAAATTCTGAATCTAAAAAGAAACAAGCCAAGCGCACATGATCAGAAAATAAATGATCGTACTTGTTGCTTCTTGGAGTTGTTTACAGTGCTTCTGGTTTTCATGGAGGTCCAGCAGGAGGTTTTGTAGTTCATGTTCCTTATCCCGTATTTGAGTTTGAAGCTCTGCGACCTGCGAATGCCAAACCGTAAGCCTTGAGTTTCATAAACTCCTAAATAAACGGACCTACATTTCCTTCTACTAACCTCTTTTTCTTTCACGTCATATTCTTGATTGTACTTCTCTTTCAGATCTTCAAACTGCAGCAAGGCCTCTTTGACTGAAAACATGAAGGCAATGTTTTCTTGCTGTTGGACATTATCTCTTAATCCTAGGTCCTTCAAAGTTAAGATTTGGTTCTACTGTACTGAAAAGGCTACGGCAAACAAAAAGATCAAAGCAAACCTTTTTGCATCTCTTGTTGATCATCTTCTGCTTGAACACGAAGGCTTTCAAATGCTGCAACCATGTTCTGCAAGAAAAAGAAGTTCCATATAAACTGACAATCACACATTTAATCGCGCTGTTTAATCTACTCCTGTCCATCACATTATTAGTTAATAACATGCTGATTTAAAGGTGTTTACCTGAATACTTGAACTATTTTCCATAAGCAGGTGATGTGTTTCTTCTCTTTCGGATTCAACTAAAACATTTAAAAAGACATCAGCAAGTAAGCAGCCATGTGTCCATTGTTCAACACTTGATATGACTGGTGAAGACACAGAATACAGAAGAAAAAGCACTTTTAACTTACATAAATGCATCTTTTCAGCTGACCGCTGAAAAGTGTCTTTGAGTATATTACACAGATTCCTCGTTGCGTTGTTTCTGTTTTTTTATAATTAAAATCTGTTATTAACAGAACATTTGATAGAGACAAAACATTTCATTTAAGAATTGTGTTTTTACAACAAAACTCATACTTGTTCCTCAAATCCTCATTTTCGCTGATCTGTTCCTCCAGCTTTACACTGAGACTTTCACTTCCAAACTGTGAAGACAGAACACACAATACAAACAATATCATCAAAATAATCCTCTGATACAAATGAAAATAGTGTTAGAGAGAGGCAAGAACTGAGGCAAGAACTGAGGCAAGAACTGAGGCAAGAACTGAGGCAAGAACTGAGGCAAGAACTGAGGCACAAACCTGCAATTCTTGGATGGCTTTGCGCTGAGTTTCAATTGTTCTTTTGTTTTCTTGGAGTCTCCTTTCCTTTTGCAAAGTGTCAGAGTCAACTTTGACCTTCCAAGACTTAACTTTCTCAACTTCATCAAACAACTTTGAATAAAGCTGTCCAGGATTGGAATTATTCTGTGGGATATACACAAAGATGGTAAGGTAGACATTATGTTGAATTAATACTTGTTGCATACGCCAGATCTATCCTATTTATGCTTCACTATACAATGAAAGTATTACCTCGCCTTTTTCCATTGGCGACACAGCTTTTATCTTTGGCAACTCTGTAGAGAAGAGATAATGTTCAATGTATAAGGTTTAACATAAATATTTGTGTGCTGAACTTATCTAGCTAGTGTTGTTTAGTAGAAAATACCTGTTCCGGTGGGTTTAGTTGGTGCAACCATGCTTGTATTGGGAAATGGCATGGTCTGCTCCTTTTCGAAACCTTTACTAATAACCTGGGAAAACAGCAGTCTTTGGTTATTTTGTGTATTTATTATGAAAAGATCTCCATGTATGTAATAATGTGCCATTTCCGTTATGCGGCAACATTTTTTTACCTCATAAGTAACGATCAAGCACATATACAATAACGTTTTTAAAAAAGTATTTTAAGTGAACTATTCTGTAAAACCTTCATCTGTAATTTAAGAAATATGTTAGGCTACACATATTTGACACATTTTAAAGAAAAATAAGTGGAACTAATTTATTGTGATATAGTGATGTTGCTTTTTCATAGAAATAACTAAATATTGTCAGGCTACAACAACAATTGCATTAATACGGAGCCCCCTAGGGCAGTGGTTCCCAACCTGGGGGGCGCCAAAGATCGCAGGGGGGGGGGGGGGGCGCCAGGCCTCAGATGATTTGAGGCAAAATATCATATTTAGACTTTTTTATTTTTTTACATATAATTGTAACGGAATACATGATTGTCACTAAAAGCCTTGTCTCTACATTACAATAAAATATACAAAATAATTGATTAATTAGTTTTAATAAAAATTCAATTTAGTAGCTATTAAAGGCATAAAAAGACAGAAATGTATAATTCTTTCTTTAATAGAAATGTTTCTTCTGCCCGTAAAGTGTCCAAACCAGGCTTTTCTGGATAAGCACATTTTTAAAACATAGTCATTGTCCATGCCGGTTTCAGTTGGATTATTTGTCAGTTGCTCCGATCAGATCGGTCTCCTCCATTTTGTAGATTATTTACGACTTTTAAATCCACATAAACACATCGGCAAAATCTGGTTTACTTTGAGCATGTGTTTTAAACAGTTTAATCCCTTTGTGAATTGTTTCCACTTGCGCCGTCCTTTAATTTCTTCATACAGCGGGAATCCAAATGAATTAATCCTGAGTCCAATAACCATCCAAGTCACTCCAATAGTGCTCCTTAATTCCGCTTTCATCCTCCTTTAACAAAATACTTCACATTCATTCAGTTTGTGACAGTAGTTGTAGCATTTTGAGACTTTTAAACTTGAATTACCGCTGTTGCGCCCCCCCCCCCCTTGTGTGTGTGTGTGTGTGGGGGGGGGGCACAACTTCCAACAGGAGTCATTTGGGGGTGCTCTTGGGAAAAAAGGTTGGGAACCCCTGCCCTAGGGGACATGGAGAAAAAAAAAAAATGTATTTGGAAAAAAAATATATTATGTTTTGCGAAATCTCGCAAAACCCCTTTGCGAGATCTCGCAACACTTGTCATTTAGCTCAATGTACTTCCTGGTCACTTCGGCAACACAGAAACCACAACAATGGAGCGCTTCATCGATTTTACTTTGAGCTTGGCCTTAAATATAAAGATATAACATCAGTGCTTGGCAATAGGCACGGGTAAGTGAAATACACCTCAAGAGAACACTCAGAGCGAGGGGACATGCACGTCGCAATCGCAAAGCATACTCTGAGCTGAGTTATTGACAGATTCGAATTTAGCGGATCAATAACTCATGAACATAACGTTGTAAAAATACAAACAACATGACTTTACAATCATAGAAAGGTAGACAACGAGCTACAGAGTAGTTTTTTATCAGAACAGTTCGATTCTTTCACACACAGTGACGTCACGAGCTACCCACAATGCAACGCGCGCCATATAAATACGCCATTTTCCTGGAGATGCAAATATCCTGGAGGTGAAAATATAAACAGCTAGCTAACGTAGCCAGGCAGAGCGCACTAGTTTTTTTTTCTGAATTAACGACCGAAGAAATCTCTGCATGTCTTCGGATTACATCTCTGGACTTGAGGGGTGTGCTTTAGGTCGTTACCAGCGTAAACTAGAGCTGTGTGGGTTGTCGGATTGCCCTTACAGACTGCCTGCAGATGTATGGAAAAACGACCCTCGAAAGTGGCCTTCGTCGATTTTGGCTGCATCTACGTCTAATTTCTGGAAACACCAGGTGAATACCCCACTTGTCACAATAATATTATCATGCCATTGCATATATGTGGTATTTTAGAGTTGACTAGATATTGATAGGCAATAGACTATGATATTCAGTACAGGAAGCTTAGCAACACCTAGACGGTGTACGGCTAAACCCTCGGCCTGCTTGCACCTCGCGTAAAATGGCGGATACCGGAAGTACCAGTGACGTGCGGTGAGGTTCATGGCTGGTGAGGCACTGACTCTTTCAGAGTCAGATTTACAAATGTTATATTTTGACCTTAATCGAAATATTCTGTTATTTTCAAAAGCTTTTTTAGTCTGATGCTTCGATTCATTTTAAACAGACCGTTCAACAAAAGTATACCCGAAATCTAAATATTGGATCGTTCTTTCTTAGTAAGATCCCATTTTCATTACAATTGTGGTCTTACCTTGACTTGAATATGAAGTCCATGCTATCCTTCTGGACAACAATCTCTATTACTTTTTTGTAAAAGTCCTCCTTATCTTCCTCTAGTTCAGGGGTGGCCAACCCGCGGCTCTCGAGCCGCATGCGGCTCTTTGCCTAGTTTCATGCGGCTCTTCAGTTCATATCGAATTGTATATGTGTGAGTTTGGGGGAGAGACACTGACTCCTGACTAGTGTTGCACGGTGTACCGATACTTGAAAGGTATACCGCGATACCCTGTCGTTAAAAACGTTACGATTCCTCCGTTTCATTAGTATCGGTACTTTAAGAATGACGGGGGAAAGTACTCCGGTGAGAAAGCGCTGTTTTAATAAGAGCCGTGTGTGTTCAGTGCTCTGCTTCCACTCCCTGCACTGCAGCCTAGTGATGGGTCGTTCGCGAACGATTCGTTCTTTTGGAACAAATCTTTGAAGTGAACGAGATGAACTGATTCCTCCCACAAAACGATTCGTTTGTTTGAGTCTTAAAGAACTGGCGGAAACAGTTCAGAACTGTTTCCTACAGTGTACTGTAATCAGAGCCCTCTCACCTGAGCTCCGTTACACACACACACACACACACACACACACACACACACACACACACACACACACACACACACACACACACACACACACACACACACACACACACCACACACACACACACACACACACACACACCACACACACACCTCAACCTGTCCGCCATAAAGAGGACGGATACCTGAACCGTAGCGTCCAGCTAGCTTAGCGATAAATACACACATCGTTGTATTCGCCTCCCCCTGTCGGCCCTAAAAGCTGAGCTCCATAGCGTCCCGCTAATGTGAAACACACACACACAGCGTTAGCGGGACATTCTCCTCCACCTGTCGGCACTAAAAGCTTCAGAGGGCGGATAGCTGGGCTCCGTAGCGTCCAGCTAGCTTAGCGATAAATACACACAGCGTTGTATTCTCCTCCCCCTGTCGGCCCTAAAAGCTTCAGATGGTGGATACCTGAGCTCCATAGCGTCCCGCTAATGTGAAATACACACACACACAGCGTTAGCGGGACATTCTCCTCCACCTGTCGGCACTAAAAGCTTCAGAGGGCGGATAGCTGGGCTCCGTAGCGTCCAGCTAGCTTAGCGATAAATACACACAGCGTTGTATTCTCCTCCCCCTGTCGGCCCTAAAAGCTTCAGATGGTGGATACCTGAGCTCCATAGCGTCCCGCTAATGTGAAATACACACACACACAGCGTTAGCGGGACATTCTCCTCTCCCTGTCGGCCCTAAAAGCTTCAGAGGGCGGATAGCTGGGCTCCGTAGAGTCCAGCTAGCTTAGCGATAAATACACACAGCGTTGTATTCTCCTCCCCCTGTCGGCCCTAAAAGCTTCAGATGGCGGATACCTGAGCTCCATAGCGTCCCGCTAATGTGAAAAACACACAGCGTTAGCGGGACATTCTCCTCTCCCTGTCGGCCCTAAAAGCTTCAGAGGGCGGATAGCTGGGCTCCGTAGCGTCCCACTAGCTTAGCCGCTAGCTAAAGGTAAACATAGATGGGTACATAGAATATGAATAAATCGTCACCGATGTAGAATATATATTTTTGTATTCACTTTGAATTCCGCCAAATGGAGTTTAATGCTTTGGGATTTAAGTTAGGCCACATAGTACGTGCATGGGTTTGAAAGTATAACGTGCTAGCCTGCTGTAATACATCGTATAGTCAGGCACAAATTTATGAGAGATTTAACAATGGCCAATGATATTTCTTAAATAATATGTAGCCTATTCCCAGAGCATAATTCATGGGGCAACAAGTTGAGGTGTAAAATGTGTTTTAATATCATACATGTTACGCCAGCAAACTTCTTGTACGGACTTCGGCAGTAGTGAAGACTCACTGAACGAATTAAGTACAAAGACGAATCGTTCGCGAACGTGCAAATCACCAGAAGTCGTTCGCGAACCGGTGAACGAATCAGTGAACGAATCTTTCAAGTGAACTGAATCAAAAGATTTGTGTCCCCGAAGGGAATCGGAATTCCCATCACTACTGCAGCCGTGCCTGCAGTCCCTCCCTCTCAAGCACGCTCTAAATCCCTCCCCTCTCTCGTGCACGCGCTAGCTGCCAGAGCATGTAAGAAAACGAGAAGCATGGCTGCAAGTGGGAGTGCAACTGCCGCTGCGCCTCGGCTTGTTGACAAAAAATACGCCAGAAGCAAAATTTGGAAATATTTTAGCTATATCTCTGACAGTGAGGGCAAGCCTACGGACACCACGAGGCCTGTCTGTATTACATGTATTAATTGTATTTAATACGAATTCTTGTCATTTATTTTATTTATTGTTCTCATTGTTTAAAAGTTTGTGTTATGGTTATGATTCTGGTGTGACATAAAGCACAATAATTACATTTAAGACTGTTTCCCGTTTTTTAAGAAAAATAATCGGAATCGCAATTCTTGACTTGGTATCGACAGTTAAACCTGATATTTAGTAGGTCTGTTAAGTATTGAATGCTGATCATTCTGACGTAATTTGGCCGGTCAAAGTTGTTTGGGCTCGGATAAAATCGCTCCGTTACTTTCGTCCCGTGTTACTTTCGTCCCGGCTCTCCCTACGTGTGTATGTGTGGTGTCAGGTGTCAGTATGAGAGGATGACAGCGCGTCTAATTTTGATGTGGCCCAACAGCCAATCACAATAATACCTGCAATGCAGTGAACCAATCACCTTTGAGGGGGGGAAACCTATCGTTGATTAAACACTATTCAGTGTTTCCCCTACCATTGTCTTGGAGGAGCACTGCGAGCCGCCAACGGAGCCCCGCGCCCCCCCTGAAATTCAAGGTGTTATATATATACTTTAAAAAAAAATATATAGCATCAAATTGCAAATAATCTATAACTACTGTCACTTTTCACATTGAATATGTGCTCTTTTATTAAATAAACTAAACGCTTTCATTTTAATTTGTGGGTTTAGTGTTTTTGACCCTAAGAAACACTGATGCATTAATCAATAACAATAATACACAGCTCCTCTCTCTGCTCCAGAGGATTTTAAAAATATATCCCAATGCCACAAAAATGAATCAGTGACGTGGTTGAAATCTTGTCTCCAGAAAACAAAAAACTGAAACAAGCGGTATCAGTGACTGTGTGTTTGATGTGGCTCCTTGCAGTAACATAGAAAACATGTGGCTCTTAACCTCTGACTGGTTGGCCACCCCTGCTCTAGTTTCAAAAGTCTAGCTTGTTGTTTGCGTCTGGTCTACCGTCTCTGCGTAGAATAACAGTAGCAACAAGAACCTGTGGGCTCACTTGCGCCCCCTTCAGTGCGGCAGAGGTTATGGCTGCCTCCCCTGGTGCTTTTTTCATTGCCGTTGTATGATGAGACCAGCGAGCCTAAATACCATATATACGTGAAATAAGTTATTTAGAGACTATGGATGGCGAGGATAAATGTAATAAAGGGATCTACAAACATTACATTGGTGACATACAGTGAGATGGTGCAGGCATGCGCTTAGGGACCGCTTTCCAGCCAGTTTATGTGGGGTGACGCATCTGAGGTGAGGCAGAGCTCATCTGTGCCTCACCTCACCACACAGTAACTGGCTTGAGCGCGCTCACAAAATAAGTGCCCTTGTGAAATTAGTGCCTGCGCTCCAGCCAGTTACTGTGGGCTTACGGGAGGCAGAGCTCGTCCCTGCCTCACTTCTTATCGCTACCCGTAGTTGTAGCGGAGCTCGGCAAATTTGCTGATTTTGACTATAAAAAGCGATTGGAATCATACATAAATCACATTTACAACACAGATCAGTGGAGACATTTTATTATTATTACTATTTAGTTTTTCTTTAGTTGTTTTTCCGTTACATTGGAGTATGACAGGTGAGGCTCTGCCTCCCCTGTCTGCACGTCGCTGGGAAGTACAGTGTCGCCCTCGGCCCAATACCCGTATGTGTGTGTGAAAGAATACACGCGGTCATCAGAGCTAAACGGTCACAATCTGCAGCTGGAGGAGGGAGAGGAGTGCTTAGGAACCGTCTACAAACTGCAACGGGGTTTTGCGAGATCTCGCGAAGGGCTTTTGCGATATCTTGCAAAACATTTTATTTATTTTTTTCAAATTATTTTTATTTTCTTCTCCATGTCCCCTAGGGGGCTCTGTACATTCAAGAGTAGATAGTGTATGTTGAAGACTTTCATTGCTGGTTGAAAAAAGTTTGTCTTATTGTTGTGCTGACAGGCCGTGTCAGTGCTGAGCTGGCATATGTTAAGCCTTGAATGAGTTAACACTTTGCTAGTTGAATGAACAGTTACCTGCTGCACCATGAAGTCCCCACAGGTCTCCTCGACTTCCTGCGGTCGAACAGCAGACACTTGACCGTTACTCACCCTGGAAGGCACCAACAGTTTGAAGCTAAATCCCCGGTTTCTGTCCATCCTGAAATAACACCACGTAGGTCCATATTTAAACGTAAAGTACAGTTAATTAAGCTTAAACATTTAAAGGAAATTCATTGTTTATCAACAGGGGACATAACGTTTGAGAAAGATAATATTATACAACTTCACATAAACGTTATTTATTTCACCCAGCCGTTAGTTTAACCCGTTGGCTAAGTTAAGTAAGCTAGTTAGCTTGTTACTTCAGTTAAGCTATGAACTTAACGGCACTTTGCGCTAGCTCTTGTGTCTAACTAAGTGTCGAACCTAATTTACCTTCAGGAACATTAATAACAAAACAATAATACAATAACTAACAGGAAAACAATTGATTTAACAAGCAGTTATTTGGCAAACGGGCAGTTACCTACCTGTCCTCCGGTCCCTGGTTGTAATGAGTATGAAGTATTTAACGTCAAAACGTCCGTTAACGGTTTTTATCTGACCACCGTATTCGAGCGCGTGCAATAATCCTGTGGCGTGACCTCAACAGTTTATTTCAAACTTTGTGCAACCGTCACGAGGAGCATTACTTCCATTATCGGACAACAAGGAGCATAATATTCCTGAACTGACACTCAGAGGAGGCGCTTGTTTTGGTCTGGGTTTATACTTATTACAATATCAATCATACATACAAAAACATCTCTGTTTTAATGTTTAATGTAATATACTAGACTGACAGTTTATTATATTACTGTCACTGTGAAAAACCTCACACATTTTGTGTAGGAAAAATATAACATCGAAGAATAGGTATGGCCAGGCCAATTTGACGTGCAAATAACTAGTTGCCCCTAAATTCACTTACATTGTTCAACCAGCGAAAATGTCAGAGGTTAATTTTGTCTATTGTCTGGCAATATTCTATTAAGCCTATATAGGCCACTTTTTTATAGTTTGATTTTGTTTTAATGTGGTTGTTATTAAATGGCAAGAACATGAATAAAATAGAATGTGGAAACATTTGTAACAATTGACTATAGGCCTACAGTAAATCTATTACACTTTTCCCCCAAGGCTGCTTAATAAAGGTTAATTAGATTTGGTGTCGTTTCTAAGAAAAGTAGATTGAGTGCATCTATGAATACTCAGTCTTATCTCGACTCCAATTTATGAAAAACATTGAATACAAATACATTTTTTTATTCTAATCAAAGAATACAAGTTTATTGGATTTGTTCAATATAGGAACATGTAGTTTGTTTTCTTTCATATGCAAACACACAGTTTCAAAGGTTTAATGCCCTCAGTATAATAGATATTTCCCATCATCCATTGTCAAAAATGAACCAAGCAAAACATAAAAGGAGAAATAGAGAGTAGGCTATGAATATGTTTTTGTAATATATATGTAAAGTTATAGTTTACCATACAAGTAGATGTTTTCAAACATTCAAAAACTGCGGAGAGCCACAATATAATTGTAGACAGCAAAAAGGCCTTTACAATGTGTTTGAGAGATGGTGTCAAAAATAGTGATGTAAGACTATATGATGCACTTTGACAGAGAATGTTTGCAATCTTTTTTTTGTATTGTCCTAAATTGAGCACAACCCTTCAAATGTTCCCTCTTGAAAAATAACTTTAATAATCTGATGGCACATTTAAGAAGGTTAAAGTACCCAAAATGGTGAACTGCAATAACAGTAACAGAAAAGTCAGTGATACCATCTCAGATTTTACACAGATATTTCCTATAAGCGCACACTTGAATTGTCTACCAAATTCATGTAACAGTCCCTATATGAATATAAGAGGCCTTTTATGTGTATTGTTTATTTGAGTTAAAAGGCCTTTAATTGGTGTGTAAATAGCTTAACTTTCATTGCAGGTAAGGCTTTCTATGGTGGTCTTAGACTGCATATTTGCCTCACAGGCACTGTTAAAACTGAACTTAAATGTAACATAACATATTACACAATATTAGACAGTGTCTTCCTTGTTACTAGCCACTGACACACCCTTGGCAGTATTTTCCATGATGGACTTTTGTTCTTCACTTTCCACCCTGGCCAGTCTCTCTTCCTCTTTGTTCTCTTTGTCCAGCAGTCGATAGTTGAGTCCCATCCCTGCAAACAGAATAACACTGGAGACGATGAGGAGGATCCCGCAGCCCTGGTATGTGTACTTGTAATCATGATAGATGTCTTTAAACTTCCCTGTGAAGAGAATAAGAAGGGCATTGCATAGTTGTTAGTCACTGTCAACATTAAGATGCAGTTAACAACACAGAAATATATTGAAATTGGTACCAGTACCAGGTAGTAACAGGTACATTCGTTGGTATTTTCCCCTATGAATTACCTTCAGGTTGTAAATATCTGAACAAATAAACCGGGTTTATAATGTGGTCATTGCCCATAAGTCTTTATCTATCATCATTGGCGCCTTTCTGTTGTTACACAACAAGTCCTGGCCTTCACAACTTTACCAGTCCACATTTGTACTCTACTTCAAAGGGAGCAAGCTTATTTCCCTGACATTATTGACAGATTAGGCAAGTTCTACATCATTATCATACTATAATGTCAACATCTCTGTGGTCATACAGTATGTCTTTGGATATCTCAGCTTTTGACTATCTAGCCAACCCTTGGACCGATCTACTTCACGCTTGTTGTGTGTGTTTTTAATGATCCTATTAATATTGAACTTGAGAAACTAAGATTCTCTCTAATGACTTTACAGAAACTGACCTGCTCAACATTTCACCAACACAAAAGAGAGTACTACACCCCATATGTATTTTTATACAACTCAAATTTTCTTTATATTTTTTTGGGTAATGGATATGGATATTATTAAGGTTCGGAAATGCTTTGCATTGTTTCATGCTGTTTTTTGTATGAAACTTTTTTTTATACTGTACTTAATGTTTATAAACTCGAATAAAATCACAAGCAGAGAAGTGGAACAAATAAAAAATAGGGCCGATGCACTTGGAAGTTCGTATAAAAGTCAATTTACTCACCGAGCAAAGGGGGTCCCAACAACACAGGACCACACTCCACAATGGTGACCAGCCCAACAGCACTGGAGAAGCGCTTAGTTCCCACCAGGTCCATCAACGTCTCAAACAGAATTGCACTCAGCCAGCCAAAAGCAAACCCAAAGAAGATGGAATAAATCACAAAGCCTGTGAAGTCAACTGATAATGGTGATAAAATGTGGCAAACGCCGTTAAATAGAACAGATACAGCAAAGAAGTACTGTATTCTGGGTCGAACCCACTTAGTGTTAGCCAAGGCCCCCATTGATGGCCGGGCCACCATGTCCACAATAGCCAGCACAGACAGTAAGAAAGCCGCCTTGTCTTTAGGGATGTCTTTACTCTTTGCATAATTACTGAGGTACACAAGTGGTGTAAAGAGACCGAAAAACATGATGACATTTCCTCCAATATAGAGCATGAAGCCGCGGTGCTTGAACAATGACAGGTCGATGAAGCTGTTAATGGTCTGGACTACAGTCCTCTTCTCTGTGGTCTTCTCTGGAGGTTTTGGTTTTGGTCCAATTGGCCGCATGAGGGAACCAGCGACACAGCAATTAAAGAGCACTCCACCCAGGATCAAAAAACTTCCTCTCCAGCCAAACTTCTCAAAAAGCCAGGTGTTTATAGGAGCCATGGTGCAGAGAACGACAGGGCTGCCTGCCATGGCTATTCCATTAGCAATAGGTCGCTTATTGTAGAAGTACTTTCCAATCATTGTGAGGGAGGGGTTGAGGTTGAAGGACAATCCCAAACCTGAAAGAATCAATAGAAATAAATACGTTAATGTATTAGACCTCTATGAATATGAGTTGAAAAAGAAGGATTTGAGCATTCAACAGTGTTTAGAGATTCAGTTAAAAGAAACTAAGCATTTTTGTCCTCGATTGAACCATGTTTAGCGCATTGAGATACATTTCTTCTTCTAGGGATACTCCTGGTAAGGATTGCAGCGTAATCAGTTTGATATAAACTGATTGTCACAAGTTAGAACACATACAATATATAAAAGCAACACAAGAGAAATAGTGAAAAAAAGAGAGACCATCACAGTCCATACAAGCATTATTCCAGAAGTCAAGTGTTTTTTTTAAACAGCAACACATTTCCTTAAAGGCAGTTTGTTAGAGACCTTTAAAGGTATCAAAATAAAGGACTACTTCAGGCGATGATATATTGCATCTCATTCCATGCCCAAGTTTCACAGAAAGAGAAGCAGTTTTAGAAACCTCAGAGCGCACCGTAGGGCATTTGAAAGAATCCCATTAGTAGATCAAGTTCTGTAGTTGCTGGTATGAAAGAATAAAAGGCTGGGAATAAATGTTGGTGCTTTAAAATGTCTCGGCAATAAGTTCCCTGGTTGTTTTTATTATTTACCACTAGGGGGCAACAGTGTGCTGTATGACAGAGAAAAGAAAGGGTGACTCATTGTTAAACTTCAGAATATAGAAAGTTGATATAGGTACCTCCCACCACACCAATAAAAAAGTACAGTTCTTGAACAGAATTGCAGAAAGACGCAGCAATGAGGCCCAATCCGGACAGGAGTCCTCCCGACATCATGACAATACGACTCCCATATTTATTCACAAGGATGCTGCTGATGGGACCTGAGGAGAAAATAACAATATGCACGTATTAGAAGCAGAATGATGGGGATTTCTCTCCAATCATCAAAGCAATGGTGTTTATTTTTTTATATTTAACCACAAGAGGGCTCCAGTGTCACGGCTGTGGCTCAGCAAAATCAAACAACTTCTGCAATCATTTTTGTCAGTGCTGCACTGCAGTAGATGTGTTCTCATGCCATTAATAATGTGATGTGTCAGAAAAACCATGAAGGCTGTTGTGCATTAAGCATCTATTTGGTTCAGATATTCATAGACAGAGGGAGGGATCATTTGTTAGTGGATTCTTCAGAAATGGGCTCTAAATACATTTAAATGATTATCAGATAATCTAAGTATAAGTGGATGTCTGTTGTTTTTAAATGAGAGGAGTGGGGGCAGGTAAGGGGACTTGTGTGTTTGGGGTTAAAATATAAACTGGTACTTTCTTACGTACACTTTTCTGACATACAGTATTGGTATAAGTGACAGAATCAGGTAATATTTATATGCATTCACCTTGAATTCTACATCAATTCATGCAAAATTGGTGTGACTTGTAAACAAATGACTAAATGACATGCAGGGTTCAGGTTTCCATCTCCATCTACGGCTTATAACCACCAGCCTAAATGAGTATGAGGACCCACATGGAAGACACTTCTCCCTTCCTGCCAAATCCCTGCACTATCCAATGAGCCCAAATGGAAAGTGACAGTTTTTGTTTAGAGGTTGTCCAGAATCATTTGCCAGCCCTGTGCAAGACAAAGGGTTTTTAAATTGTAATGCAGGCGGTCTCCACACTAACAATGAGTTCTTTCCGTCCGCCGTGCAGCGAGAGTTGCTTAGGATAAAAGGTTGGAGACAAACCAATGTAGAATATTATGAATGTAATGAATGAAAAATTGAAGGAGTACAGAGGTACGCAACAGTAGGTTGTTAATGAACTTCTCCTGCCGATGTGCTCAGAATGTGTAACACAACAACAGACTCAG